TTTTTTTTTTTTTTTTTTTTTTTTGGGGTCCGATGGACCACGGATCAGATATTAAACTGACCAGAACAGATACTACACTTTATCTTAGCCAAAAGGCCGAGAAAGGTATGGTTTTACTTTTTCTATTTTTTTTTCGACGGTTTTTTGTGCTCCGTCTATGCACGGACCTACCAATTTCGCAGCAGTAGTAGTAAATCTCCCCCTGGGCAGGTAAAAGAGTTGACTCTGCTCAGAATGCCCCGTTCAGAATGCAATTGGACGTAAAGCAAGTCAGATACTTCTGACATGCCCGGACATTGTGGATGACCAGGTGCATGCTGATACTTGCATACCTGTTCTCATCGGTTCCTGGCACATGCTGTGGACACGTAAAAGGGTTGACTCTGCTGCCTCGAGGACATACACGCAACTCTTGTGCTGCCGTGGACAGAATGCCCCGTTCAGAATGCAATTGGACGTAAAGCAAGCCAGATACTTCTGACGTGCCCGGACATAATGGATGACCAGGTGCATGCTGATACTTGCATACCTGTTCTCATCGGTTCCTGCCACATGCTGGGGACAGAATGCCCCGTTCAGAATGCGAGTGGACGTAAAAGCAAGTCAGATAATTCTGAAGTGCCCAGACATAGTGGATGACCAGGTGCCTGCTGAGGGTTGCATACCTGTTTTCATCGGTTTCTGCCAGACCCCCCCCCCCCCCCCCCCCCTTCTTTTTTCCCGCCTCGAGTCTCGACCAAGAAATGAAATAAAAAGAACGACAAGATCAACCTGTTTAGCTTAGCCAGTCGCCTGCTTCCCTTTTCCCCTCAGCAAAAAAAAAAAAAAGACATTACCTGAATTGTCTCGTCCTCCTCGCCACGCTGGACTCGGAAGATTGCATCGACATTCTCCTCTGCGCCAACACTCTGTAATGTCAGATAGCAACAAATGCAAAAAAAACAAAACAACATTTACAACAAAACCAACAACGATCACGAAATGAGACTGGAGAGCAAGCCTCGGCAAATGGAAGAATATATCATTATAGAATTTATACTAATTTTATAGTATGACGATTAATTGATTCTATAGGTTAGAATAACCTCCGCAAGAATCCAAGAATAAAAAGAAGGATATGATGATGATGATGATAAGGCTAGGATCTCTCTAAACAGGAAAAAATCGCCACCTGTGTCTCGTCATCACGGCCAGGTGTGCATTGTTAACCCGCCGGACAGTTTTCGGGGTACCTGGCTCCGCCGCGCCAGTTACGACACACCGCAAAATCGTGGTTCAGGCGCGCTAGAGGGAAAAGGCCACCGCTAGCGTCTTAACAAACGGTCATGGTCGCTGTATTTGGACTCAAAACTGCATACAATACAGTGATAATCGCACCTCCAGAATTTGAGGCGTCAGACCCGCAGCCCAGGTGCCCATGCACTGGTAGTGGTTTAAAGACACAGTGATGCTTTTCCCTTAATAAACATTCTTCACTTAATAACCATAGTGTTATGACCCTGTCCAATTTCGAGATACACATCCACTGAGAAGTACAATGCCATCCAATTGCAGAAGGAAATGAATGAACTTGAGAGGAGAGAGAGGAGTAGAAGAAGAAGAAGAAATGAGAAAGAAGAAGAAGAAGATGTACACCAGCAAAGATGATGACAAGGCTCTTCTTCTTCGCCCAACAATCTCCTCCTCCTTATCTCCCCCTTCTCTTATTCATACAAGAAATAATAATACAATGTTGAATGACTGGTCCAGAATCATGTCCGAGTCCCTTTTCTACTGCAGGTATCACTCAAGGTCCACTATAGCCATGGCTGCCTTCCACACTCTTCACACACATAGGCCGAGGCTATGGCGGACTACTAGGCCTTGCACCGACGTCCAAAGGACAACCCAGAGCAGCTATGGCTGCTCCCGCTCAGGCCACCATGCCCAGCCTTGCCTTGAAGCTTCTTGGTGTAGCTCCCCCGGCTGGGGACTCCTTGCAGCAGCGCCCACCAAGGTGATGAAGATGGCTGCCACCATAGCCAGGTAAGTACCCCTGGCACTCCTCCCCCTTCCTCCTTCCTTCCTCCTTCCTCCCTCTAGTCCTTCTTCTTCCTCCCCAGCAGCGCAGCTCCAACCCAGCGCTGCTCCCTCCAGCGCTCCACCAGTGTGTCGCCAAACTTGCACACCGAAATAGAGGCCGGGTCTTCCGCCTGGCCGGAAGATATAGCGGCCTGCTTTGCCTCTTGGGCGGTGACTTCCAGGCCGCTGGCCTTCCCAAGCAACCGGTACCTCTTCCTCCTTTTGGAG